GATAAAGAAAGAAGTGATCTTTTATTCCAATACAAAAACAGCAGTTTTTGTATTTTTCTAATTAAAGCCTGCTACTGTAAAATCACTACAATAAGGTTTTTATTAAATTCTAATTTATTCAAAAACAGTTTTAGGATAAAACTATGGGGATGCAACAGCCAATCAGCTCTATTTGATAGAGGTGAAGGAGACAAATGAAAACACAGCATAGATCTGGCATGGGCAAACTTTTTGACTTGGCTTTTAGCCTTTTCTATGCTATTTGGAAAATGTGGGCATTGCAGGAGAAAAGCATTACAAAAAGTATAATGGTAATATAAAGTAATAGTATAATTTGGACAAGTTTGGTGGGCCGGATAAAAATGCCAAACGGGCCACATCTGGCCCTCGGGCCGTAGTTTGCCCAGGCCTAGTGTAGACAATGTAGCCAAGAGCAGACATATTAATGAAGGAAGTGATGGATTTTTGTCAATTTAAACCATGTATCTGGAAAAGTAAGTAAAAAATACAAATATATATACATTTGTAATTTGGTAAATAAATAAATCTTAATAATTAGAAAATGAGTTCTATGGTTATTGGTATTTGTCAAAAACTTTTCAGTGATCATTATCTTTGCCAGAAAGCTTTAAATACGTTTAATCAGAAAGGGACAGTCTGACATATACACTGGAGAACTAACAGAGCCTCAGACTGAAAACTGGAATTTGTGTTTTGTTTTTTTTTTTCGCACCTGATGGAGGCGTCGTCAAATAGATTCTAGGAAAAACGGCTGACAGATGTTGTTTATTACATGTCTACAGAGATGCTAAGTGAGTAGAAAAAGTTCAAACCGCCCATAAATGTTCACATCCCACAGAGACAGAGGGACCGGGCCAAGTGTAGTTCTTCTTAATAGGAATGATAAATAGCGGAGGATTTCTTTTAAGGTCACCCTGATCTGGCAGATGCTTCTTGTAAGCTGGCAGAGGACAAATTGGGCCACGTTTCCTGCTTTCTCTAGGTGCCTCCGAGGTACTGAAGGAGTGGAGAAAGAACCTCAAGTACGCACAGACAGACAAATGAATCAAAAGAAGCTGAAGATAAAGACAGTTTAAACTTCTGTATGAACAAGATGACCTTTCAGAAATGCTTGGTTTTTCGACTGAGGGACAGCGTTTTATTTTAATGACATCTAATAGTTACCGTTGTGCAGAGTTCAGGTCGGTTATCTCACTTAAGACAAGGAACATTTCTCTTCCGCCACTTGTTGCCTGCCTACATTTATTACATAATCAATCCTGGACGACAGCCACCCACCACCAGCATCACCATCAACGCTTTTAGCTTTCACTGCAGCTTTTCTAGAACCTGTAGGGAACCTGGGCAACACAGGACTTTTTTTTTTCTTTTTTCCTTTTTTGCTGTTGGCCACACTTGGACACACTGGATTTGGTAAATAAATAAATCTCAATAATTAGAAAATTAGTTCTATGTTGAGTTATTGGCATTAATGTCTAAATCTGACCTGGAGGTATTTTTCAAACAATCAATATTGATTTAACAAGTAAGGAACCTTTTTTTATTCACAGTGACGTTATCTTATCATGAGGAACAAGCAGTTAGTATAGCATATGTGTTGTTTTGCTGTTAGCAATTGTATATGTATATGTATATATGTCTTTGTATTTGTATGTGTATATGCTTTAAGAGCCAGGGCTTAGGATGATTCCAAGGGCTACAGACAGACCGACCAACTGACCGATCGATAGATAGATGGATTATATATAAATTAATTATGTCAAATAATTATTCATTCTGATCCTAATGGTAATAATTAATACTAATTCTGCATGGTATTCAGAAATATTTTCATGTTCCTAAGCGTGTTACGTAGGGGTCCATTGACGTATTCTTCCATGGGGCCCAGAATTTCTGGCAGCGCTCCCGTGTACAATGACAATAGAATTCAGATTATTTTTCTATTCTCCATAAAACAAGATTGGTATTTGAACGCTGCAGGACAAATGTTGGACACCTTTTTTTTAAACTATAAGGTGGTAAAATATTCTCAATTGGGAATAAAAAAGGCTTCACCAGTAAACCAAAAACAACCATTTAGTTCCCTAAATGATATTCCCGTTACTCGGCGTTCTTTGTACGATAAGCCTTTTACACAGTGATGCAGTGCTTTGTTTGCAGATGACCTAGAACAACTATGGGTTCACATTCAGTGTCAAAGCTTTAAATGAACCCGACAACCCTCCGCAAATGGAAGCCGCCCGTTCATCAAAACAGGACCATTTACCCAGCAACCTTTGTGCCATGGATTATTTCAGGAATATCACCCTCTCTGTGTCAGTTCCACTTGATATTTTCTAGCTCAATCAAACACAGGGCCTCGTAGATTGTAGATTTTTTTTGTCTTAGGTAATACTGGCACAGTTGGTGGAGAACAGCCTGGTATTTTTGCCCCGACACCGGGGACAGGGCACTGGCGCGTATCAGCAGTATATGAAACTCTGTCACCTCAGATTAATGTGAAAAAGAAGAGGAGGAGGAGGCGGAAAAAGATGAAGAGAAGTAGGCCAACATCGTTCAAGCCAGCCCTCTTCTTCCCCCTACAGGACAAAAAAAGCAGTAATTGTGGTGGAGAGAAACTATTTTCTATTTGTTTTATTTTATTTTTACTTTTCGCTTAAAGCCAAGCTAATTTATCTCAGAAAAAAATTATTATTATCTTATCATTACTGCATTGACATTTTACCTTTCATTACATTGTTTTATTTTTGCAAATTAGAGATGAAGATGGTTCAGGGAAGTTTATTTACAGTAGCTAAATGAATTTCCTTGTATTGGCTTGTATAATTACAATTGTTTTGGAATATGTTTTCACATGTTTGTGGGGAACATTCTTCAAGACGTTATTTTTAACCACCCTCTCCAACACTCTTTAAGCAGTTTAATTTGTGGGGAACATTCTTCAAGACCCTCTCCCTCTCCAACACTCTTTAAGCAGTTTACTAAAAGTAATTGCTGGGCGACAAGATTTTTAATTATAAATAATCCCAAATGATTGCATTGTTATCTACAAAATTAAATAGTGAATTCAAAGGTTTGTTTTCTAAACACTGTGATAAAATACCTACTGGTGTTAAGTGATGTGTCACCAAAACAAAACCTCACCTTGCCAGCCCAAATTAGAATACAAATATAGATTAAATCTTGACAAAGGTGACTTTTTGGTAATGTAAACAAGGTTGATGTCAGGTTAGCCTTGTAGTTTAGCTGTGAAGTTGCTTTGCTTTCATATAGATATCACATTTAGAGGAGTTACATCCAAAGCTAATTCACGAGAAATTGCAAAAAGTCGGCTGCCCTTTATTTATGAATGGCCAATAGGAGTAAAACCCTGAGGTCATGTGGTGATCCTTTGCCGTTGAACACTGTAGAGGACGTTGGTTTCAGGTATATTTCTATATGCTTTTGGAGAAAAGGCCAATTAAAGGAGAGAGAGAGGGAGAGACAGCAGCCCTGCATGAAGCCAGTGACGGCCATGAATATTTCAGGCCGTCGCTGAGGTGACGGACATCGGCGTGTCATCTATTCACAGCAGCTGCTTTATTGGCACAATTAGACAGGGATGGAGCTCTGATTACTTGGAGCCAGGCTCTCCATTCAATCCATCCACAGCAGTGCAGGTCTCTTATGGTCGTCACAGTGAGCTCCGTTTTTTTGAGTGATGACCAAATGAAATACTATTGGCAGCTGTGCACGCGCGCACACGCACACAAAGGGATGTGAAGCTGACCACCACACACTGCGCGGGGCCACATAAGGATTAATTACTTTATGGAAGTGCCAGCATAGCTGTACACAGTGCTGGCTCTAAATCATACCCTGTACACTCACAGGTACTGCAACATACACATAAATTACTACATACAAAAGGCTAGGCCATAACGAAAAGGACAAAAGCATGAGAAAGGGTTTGTACTTAAAAAGGGCAGCTGTCCTTTATTTACCTTTCTGGTAAAGTGCTGATATCTGAGAATATGGGCTTAAAGCTGAATAAAACCCATGAGATGTTGGGTAGGGGAGGGGGAGTTAGGGGGACGTGGGCGTGGTGGATGGGATTGGGAATTGTTAGTGGTGTAATAAATCAGCTGTGCAGGAGTGTAGAAAGACAGGAGGTAGAAAAGTTGAAGAACAGTACCCTCTTCTGGCTCAAAAAGCTGGAAGTCTTTTGGTTTTTTTTTCATGTTTTTCCCAGAGGAAGCAGCAGGTGGCCATGGAAACACATTTGTGCACACTTGTCAACAGTCAAGATGTTACGTGTATATTAGAAATTCAAATCAGTACATTATCAGACAGATATTAGGCAGGTTGAAGTCTATCAACAACAGCATTTGCGGTTTCTGCAGAACAAATGTAATGTGGATCATTTAATCTCTGAGTCAGATACAACTGTCTTCAAAAAATACTTTGACTTTTCTTTAAAAGACTATTATCGTTTACTTACTTTTCTGATGTAAGACATTAAAAATCACCAAATCAGTTTGATCAAAACTCTTGTCTCTTGAACACCCACAGACACGTTCTGTTAAAGACTTCTTTAAATCCAACAATAATTGGGCAAATTTATAATATTTTGTTCGTTTCTGTTTGATTTTGAGACATTAGTAGATATGGTCGGATTTGTTTAATTTTTTTATTATTTATTTCTAAGCTCATCTATGGCACAGCAACAAACAAAGAACCTCTTAAATTGTCATTTCATCATAAACAGACTTTCCATGATTGGTGTTCATAGGTCTAACCTAAGGCTGATGATTCTACAAAGAAATGTTTTTGTGCCAGAAGACAATACTGCAAAATTGTTACCCATTTCAAAATTTAAAAAAAAGAAAGAAAAAAAAGCCACGCTGTAAGTGTCACACTGTTACCAACAGAGGCAGTGTACCAATTATTATAATGTTATCTTTGAGTCATGAAACTGTGGGGTGTGTGAAAAACGGTACCTCTTCCTGGTCCAACATGAAGACCTGATTTCCGGGGCTTACACGAACACGGGGGTTCCAGCGGTCTTGGGGTGGATGGTCGTAGACAGGGCGCTCTTGCACCGGGCGGTTGTAGGAAGGGCGGTCAAAAGACGGACGATCGATGGAAGGGCGGTCGAAAGAGGGACGGTCAAAGGAGGGACGGTCAAAGGAGGGACGGTCAAAAGAGGGACGGTCAAAGGAGGGACGGTCAATGGAGGGACGGTCAAAGGAGGGGCGGTCAAAGGAGGGACGGTCAAAGGAAGGACGGCTGTAGTGAGCAGGGCGGTCGTAGATGGGAGCGTGGACGGAGTGGACGTGGGTGCGATGATGGTGATGATGGTAGGAGGGGGGGGCGACACACCTTGCATCTGGAGGGAAAATAAGGAGGAGGGAGCAAAGGAAAGAGGGAGGGAAAGGACAGGGGGAGGAAAAAGAAGGTCAGTTAGGATCATCAGTGGGGAGGCGTTCATGCTGTGACACGTCTGTTCCTGCAACATGTGTCAGGTGATATTACAGTGTCTGCTGCTCCAAGAGGTCATTAGCATTTTAATAGAGCCAACAAGCAGACAAGGACTGGAGGATTATATTATTCTGCGACATTCAAAGTCATTATTAAAAACAGAAACATTTAGTCAAACACCAACTAGATGCACGCCTGTCCAGCACAGCCCAATCCAACTGTCCAAATAGACAGTATGTGAATGACCAATCCTTTTATATTTTTGTGCCACTTCTTTTTATCCTTTGACTAGGTTTGCGACTTATACTCAAGTGAGACATATTAAAATATATAATTTTACATTTGTTATTTTCACACTGACAGCCGCTAGAGGGCACTGGTGCTACCTATACTCCGGAGCGACTTACATATAATTTTTGTTCTTCATCATGAATTTTTTGGCTGGTGCGACTAATAGTCCGGAAAATACGGTACATTTGATGCCGGTTTAACCCCAAGACAATAATGTACTTAAATACACATTCTAAAGAGATGTAACCTTCTGTTGTACAATATCTTTCCTCAGTGAAATTCAACATAGACAGACTGTCTCTGTCACTGTCACTTAATAGGCTGTACCTTAAAATACTAAAAGTCAAATTTAAAAAAAAAGGTCCCACATCTATCCCCAGACCAAAATCTAATAATCTGTTTCTTGGCCCAAGGCTGTGCTGTCCACCCAAATCTATTCCGAGGATCCAAAGGGAAGCAAAGACAGAGAAAGTCAAATCTCTCTAGTGGAGAAAGACAATGATCTTAATTCCTTGTATCTGAGGTTTGTTTAAGCCAAACTCTGATGTGAAACATGAAAATGTTGCCTGACAGCTCCAGGCTTCTCATAATGAAACCGACTGATCACAGCGTATGAGGAAGGTTCACAGGCAGCTGTCAATGCAGGTGTTGGACCACAGAGAGGGACACCTGCATTCTGGCTCCCAAGGGCAAGTCGGACTCTTCTGATGTTTTTATGTCCTAGAATATGATGTGACCACAGTGTCACAGTGACACAGGTGCTGATGTTAAATATGTGAGTTCCAACTTACGGTTAAAATCGAGCGTCCTCACGCTGTAGGAACGGAATTCCAACTTTATCTCAAGCGTTTGGGGTGTTTGGATCAGGTCTTTTTTTTAAAATCCAAATCTTATATTTCTCTATTGTGGCATCAGATGTGAGTTTTCCTTTAAAAAACCGGCCCAATTTTAAATATCTGACAACAATCTGGCATCATTAGTAAATGGATCAGCTGAGATCAGTGGGGTTTCTGTTAACTTAAGGTCAGTTCCACTGCAGACTCTGGTACAAATAGATATTGACAGTGTGAATCCACCACAAAGACACGTGGACTAAAGGAAAGTACAGCCATTGTTTTTCCACTTACTATTATTTTAAAAATTAAACGGCCGAGATCATAATTGGAATCAGTTCTCATCAAAACATTTTCACATTTCCAAAGATAAAAAGCTTGGAAATGATTAAGTATTTTGCTCAAAGCTGTTACGCTCTGACACCGAGTTTATTGATAATCTCTTCTTCAAATTCCCTGGCAAAAATGTGTTGCACAAGGAAATGTGTTAAAACATTTTATTTTATTTTTTTTTTAATGAGGCAGACGCACGCTGCTGATCTACCAGGACGAGTTTAAAGCTACTGTATCACAATCAGATTAGATGGATTCTGAATTAGAGCCTGATGAGCTTTTGTCCATTATCAAAAGTCTTCAGAGAGAAACTACACTGTGTGGCATCGTCTCCCTTTTCCTCCACACCTCAACCCAAAGACCACCCGGTCCAAACTTTGCATCTGTGTGAAGCAAAGTCATTGTGTTGAGATATTCACTGGGGGAATCGCAGCGTGAGTCATCCTGATCTGTGCTGCCTTACTGTAGGCCTACAGTATCTCTCCACCCCCAAGGCTACCTATTAAGGGCTTGTTAAGCTCAGTGGCCAGAATTTCAATGAGAAGACACGTTCATCTGTCTCTTCATGCATTCAGGGTGGACGGGCAGAGCTCTGTACTGCATGTGTGTCGTATTAATATGGTGATACAACGAGGCACAAGCAGAAACGCCGAGACCTTTTCCCCCCTCGCTCCATCCCTCTGTCCCTCCATCTTTTTCTCCTTTCATTTTCTCTCAACAGTCTCCGTCCCTCCTTTCTCTCTGCGGGGTTTTCCCCCCACTTTTTTCTGCCATCCTTAGCACTTTACAATGAAGGAGAAGAAGAGGGTCATGCACCAATTGGATCACTGGTCAGCCTCAGTCAGCGTTGTCATTACCGGGAGTCGACGGGTCTGAAGTTGATTTATTCACATCACTGAGCTCCTAAACAGTGCTAAAAATAAGGATTGCAATAGCCTGGGGCCACCCGGGGCAAATAATGTACTGTTTGCAAGGGTGGCAAACTGAAGCATCTCTCTTTCTAAGCAAGATGGAACTACTGAGTGTACACCACGTTATAGCATCAATGGGACCTCAGCTGCACTAGCATCAAACATCGAGAACTGGATCACTGCATTTCAATTACACTGACTGCGACACCATACAGTAACCAAAAAATATAAGATAAAGTTAAGGGTAGAACCTTCTCAATATTATGCCTAAATTGAGAATACGTGCATATGTTGTAATTGATGATCTATCAATGTTTTCAAATTCAATTTCTGACACTACAGAAACAGAACATCTGCTCACTTCCACTGGAATCTCTCTTTGGATCACCGTTTTTGTCATGAGAAGAACACAACCACCAACAACACAAACAACGGCGATGACAATGATACAGATGGTGACTCCTTAAAGACATATGGCATATTGAAAGATTGTTCCTAGAACTAATTAAAACAAACTGTTGCAGAAAAATGAATCTCAGATCTACAGCAGGAGGAAGCTTCCTTTCACTGGATTTATAATGTCAATAAACACTTTTACGGCTAGTTTATGGCCTCAACCTGTGCACGATTCAGGTCTTAGATGATGGACAATAAAATCCTGACACATCTGAGTGACTGATCGCTGGTACAACACTACAGCAGTCAGGTTGCAGACGACATCAATAAACGCCAGTTTACAAAAACGTACATGAAGACAGGCAGATTTCAGTGTTTTGTTTCGCAACTGGTAGCAAATGGGTTAGCGTGAGGGGCAAAAGCGCCACAGGCTAATAACGAGCCGTGCCTGGACCTCCCTCTCAGTCTTTTGCGGTCAGCCGGATACATTAGTCCCCACATTTCTATGGGCTACTTTGTGAATATGAACCTGTATCTGTGTTTCCTGTGTGTCTGTGGAATTGGACCAGCGTGGAACTACCTGTATGTTGTGCTGTACTTCCTGGAGTGACTGACACAGCTGGAAATAAGAACAAATGCAGAGCAACACTGTGACGAGTTGTGAGTCAGTGGTGTGTGTGTGTGTGTGTGTGTTTCGACAGTGGGCTGCAGTCAGTGCTGAGTCAACAGAATGTCAAGTGTCAGCACAGGGTCATAGAGATGTACATGGGTTTTACAGAATAAGCTCAATACTGTGACATCAGCACCTTTCACGTGCTGTAGAGCAGAGGTTCCCAAACTTTTTGCACCCACGATTTGATGGTTTATATACTGGTACATTTTTTATGTAAAATATAATTATGAAATTATGCACATAAATATAGTATACATAATATCATAATATTACATTAAAAATAATCTAAATAACCAAATGATCCACGGCCCGGTACTAGCCACCAGAGGTTGAGAACCCTTGCTGCGTACGACAAACTAAAGCCCTTTAGATTGGGCATCAGTATACACTGTACAATTTTGCACAAATGTGTTTGTACTGAATCATAGTTGGAAACGCATTCAAAGACACATTCAAAGAAATGACGAAAATATGCCATCGCCCCCTTGTGTTAATATGAGGAACATGTCATGTAAAAAAAAAAATCAAGAAAAACAAAAGATAACAGCTGAATTTGCGACAGACGCATTGACATGACGCAAACCCTAGCTAGCAGACTATGTAACCTTAATATACTAAAACTATAGTACAGTACAAAGTTTACTCCGACCTACTGTAACTGATGGTCCAAAGTCTATTCTGATGAGTCAATGAACCAGTATCTGAATCTCTCTCTCTAAGGGAGTCCATATCCAGATTTTGGAGGCAGCTTTGCCTGTCATTTCATAGTACACTGTGTATTATAAATAGTGTTGTACCTACTTTCATTAAGACTGTGTTCCACCTCGTGATTTATGAAGATCTTACAAAAGTGCTGAAAGTGCAGTCTGCAGAAGCTTTACGCCCCAACTGTATTCAACTGTAGAACTGGACTGACGTGAACAAGCAGCACGGTTTATAACAAGGATCCACATTCACCAATCTGTTGGGTTTTCTTTTTCATGACAAGGTCAAGTGGTCGTGTTTTTGTCTGCATGTATGTACAAGTCTGCACAACAGCATGCACAACAAATATGAAACACTTTTTATGTCTAAATTCTACAGCAACAGAGTTCTTATAACACAGGTAAAATTTAGAAATTTCTTAAATTAATTAATCTTAATTTAGATTTTGTGTGTTGTGTTGGGCATGTTCACTTCCCATAATGCATTGGTCGGTATTCCACGATTGGTATTCCAATCCTGTA